ACGGCTTTGGAAGTAACGAGTGAGCAAAAAACATGTTTAGCATAAGTGTCACTGGTTACTGACTTAAATCGGACCCGAAATTGTCCGGATAGTCACATCTGGCAGTATATGGGCTCCGACATGAAACCGATATCACAATATTTTTCCGGCAATTGGCCAAACACACTACATTCTCGCAGGCTGATGTGACATTTGCCTGGACTAACATGGACGCGGACTATCTTGGTCTTGAAACCTGTCTCTCATAACCAATCTGCCTACCGCCGCCGCTGCCAACACCGTAGTCGTCACCCCTTCATTTAACTTCAAGGCAAACTATGCGCGACAGAATTTCAAGCTGCGTTTTATTTATCTGCAAACAAGCGCAAAAAACCCACGTATTTATGGGTTAAGTTGATACCCAGTGTTTGGAGTCAATTTCGGAAAGTACGTCTGACGCGGGATGCATCTACCAGTCATCTATACAGAAATCTAGCGACATAGGCTTTTAACATTTGCAAGCTCAGTAAATATAGGAGTATTTTACAGCCTTTGCCGTTCTGTTCGCTCCCCCCTCCCTGTGAAGGCATCTTGGCCTCTTTTCCAGCTTCCGCTTTATCCAATCGACCGTGGTTGAAGTAGGACGCAAAAGCGATCGCCGACTCACTTCGCCGTCCCCAATTTGTGCTAAGAATTTCGTTGTGCACGCTTGGCCCTGCGATCAGTTTTTCGAAGATTGCGAACTGTGTTGTGTTGACGGCACCCTCTAAGCGTGCATATCAAAGTAGAGGAGAAGTGGCAGTTGTTTTTGTGTGTTTAAACTTTCTTCCTTAAGTTAATGTGTACCTCTAGAGCTGGCGGCAGACCGACAGTACTTCTCAAACAACGTTCACATGGTGGGAAGTAAGATTCGACGGGGCTGTGCTATCAGCAGGCTGGCTGGCCCACTTGCGGCGATGCAGCGCGAGAGAGAATTTTCTCCAAAAGATGGGCCGACATGCATGAACGCTATCGAAAAGAACTTACAGCACGGACCAATTCATTATTATAGCTAGTAAGCCCACTTTAAAGCCTCCTTGTTACTACACCGCCAGTCACATCCGTTGGTTGGAATAGGAATTATTTTCCAGGGAATACTTTAAACCATTTTGGGGAGCAACCAATCAAAAAGAATCTTTTAGTCACTTTGCAGGAATACAAATACTCACTCTGTATGGGTTACTACTATATTGACAACAGTGAGGTACCATCCAAAAGCCTAGACATATGTTTCGTCGATATTCTGCCACAGCTACGAGAGGCTCATCAGTGAGTTTCACAGCCTTCCCGCGGGCTTCCTGGTAGATACTCCAGTCTTGAAATTTCAATTTTTTGTTATCTGCGCAGAAAGAAATGCGCTAACTTGATGTAATTTAGTCGGAATGCAGCTTTATAGACTCACTCCGAAAGTTGGTATGATCGTTCGAGCCGAAATTCAGCGGATAAACACACTAGCCTAAATTAGTCAGTACTAGACAGATGCCGCATGCTTTACCATACTGACAGAATAAGTACTAGCTAACAGCGCTTTCTCATTTAACTGAAGCCCAAATCTGATTTGGGGGTTTTAAAGTGTGTGGATAAAAAAACTACTGTTAGTGTGTTGCTTCGCATCCACGTCACCGCAAAGGAGGATTTTCACTGTACACCCCAGAGCATGTTTGGTGCTGGGCGATGACTTGCGCGTGATTTAATTTATAGCGATAGTAGACTTACCCTGCATCTGTTGCACCCTCTCCTCCCTCCATCACCAACGTGGACCCGAGGACATGACTGAGTCTGGACAACCAGAAGCAGGATCGGGCCCAGGGGCTAACGAAGCTAACCAACCTGGTCAGCCTACAATGAACCCGGTTTTCACTGGGAAAGGAAGAGAGGGGGCGGGGGAGGGGGCTCTGGTCGAAACTGAGATTGCTATGGAGTCTAAATTCAGTGAAAACCACTGTAACTTGACTTTCCGTTCTGAGAGAAAGAGAGGACTGAATTAACTTATCAGTTGGCAGCCTTCCGAGCGAGGACGTTTAGCCCGTCTGGTGGTCTCAATGAGCATCAGATTAGCAGACACGGATCTGATGTTTCTGA